CAATAATCTCGTTTATTTGATACCAGGAACATATGCAATGCGCAACGCCTTGTTTAATTTTTAGAGCGAGATATACACATAAGTACACTTTCGACAATGCTTTTATTGAACTAATTGGAGAAAAAAAATGGTAATCATCGTCCCACTCTAAAAAATCGGGTTGCTGGAATGATAAAAAATATTCTCTTTTTATGTATAAGTCTGTACAATTGGGTGAGAGGTACATATACACATCTATGGAGACTTATGTATAATAATATGCATCCATTACCGGGAGTTACAAAATTGATATTCTCTTGAATAGCCTCAGCAATTAAAAATCTGCTAAAAACGTGAATTAAATAATCAGTATATATGTACGGTTAACACACCTTAGGAGTATTAATACTTTAGATGATTTCTCGTTACATAAAAAATACTATCCTCGTACCCTAATTGCGTATTAAAACATACAGAAATTACGTATTCGTAGGAACCTACGAGGCTATTCAATTAAATTCATTACAACTTTTGTACAATTATAAAATTTCGTAGTTTACAGATGAGGGAGTATTTTCAAATATCTTCGGTGGGATTTATAAATAACGCAGTCAGTGCGAAGAGTAAAAAGACGAAACCACCGATTATGGTCACTGAAAATAAAAAGAAATATAGAATCGTGTGTAATTAATTGTATATGAGAAGAAATTTTTACCTGTTCTCACAGAAATCTTTTGAGCTATCATTCTGCCTCCTAATACTGCCAGGCCAGTGCAAAAGGAGTGTCCTAATATCCCGCCTATTACGACCCCGTAAACATCCTGCAAACAGACTCGTTCGTCAGATCAGAATTCAGAATTATTACAAAGCTACGATTATTTATTATTGAATATTGATTAAATTTATTATGTTCTTTACTTCTCTCGCTGCAAGTATAATAGTTGTGAGCTGAGATCGATCACCCCACTCTGCAAGAAACGTTAATGTAAATGCTTGAAGGAATATCCTAGAGAGGAGCATCAGTGCATTAATTTTTGTCGCTTTTCTTACAACACCGGTTTCCGGATCCTGCACCAACGTGCTAATCGTATCCTTTTCATACTGAAAGTGGACCACAGTTAAAAATTATTTAATTCCCTGCAAAAACGTTAAAGGGAAAGTTTACAAACACTCTTGTAAGCTGTTTTTAAATAAAACCATTGAGTACCTCGTCGTCTCGTTTCCTCAGATCTGATTGTACTTCTTCTAGCTCTTCCTGAGCTTCTGTTATAGACATTTTATACCCGTCTCGTAGCATTTTCAAACCGAACAATGCGAAAAGGGCTGTGGAGATGTAATGAGTATAGATACGAGGGATAATAGTCGCAGCGTATCCGAAAACCACTGGAATTAAAAATTTATGGCAGACAATCGTCGACACTTGGTAAATATTTGCCACACGTGCTCGTGAATACCTGAGAGAATAGTCATCAAAGCTAGTGCACTAATCGCTCCTACAAATACTGTCAATCTCGGATGTTTCATCGCCATAATAGCAGCGATAAAGAATGTCTTATCTCCTAGTTCGGAGACGACGATCACAGACACGGAAGCTATGAACGCGTGTACAAAACTGAGGTTGTCCTTAACCTCCGGCGTCATCGTATCCTGCGGATTCTAAAATTGTATGAAAAATTGATTAAAATCGAATGAAAGTCTGTTTGTAAAACAGATTTGATACTTGCCATAGACGTCATCATTTGAAACTTGTTCATAGGTTCGTTCGCCACGGCGGTGAGAATGATACAATTAATTACAAGTATGTACAGAAAACAATTCCTCGCTGGAGCGAAGCCCATTATTCTTAAATTTCCTTGCAAATCGAATTGTTTAAAACACAACCTCTACAACCGGTGGTCTTCCGTAGTGCGCAGCTTGTGACCACTTGTGACGCCTGTGAGTCACAGAGTCACAGGCTGTGACTTATAATTTGATTCAGATGATTCAAGTTGGATTCAAGCAGATTCGATTCGAGTGACACGGAGAGGAGGGGTCGCAGATTACAGATGAACAGATCTGTACATTCCTGACCTGTCTAGCTAAACTAAACTGTCAACGACTAACACTGAAACAAATCTTACCACTTTGTCACACGTCTGGAGTTTAAAAAAATGTAGAGAAATATGAGATACCTAATGATATCGAAATGAAATAGAATATGGATCACGAGGAAGAGTTTCTCAATACGTTTTTCGTTCAAGTCGCTCAGTTGTGCACAGACAAAGCGAAAGAATTAGTTGTAAGTATTTAAATATTGTTATATTTCATGAAGAAACGAAATTGTTTATTTAGTTTAAGGAAAAGGAACGTGGATCATGTCGACAGACACAAATGGGCCCGTGGGGAATGTTATTAATGCATTTACCGCAAATCGCAGTGGCCGAACACTCCTACGCAGATTTGGGATTCCTGCATACAAAAAATAAAGGATTCCTAAGAAAAGACGTAAGTAAAAATGCAATAATTATCAGAACATAACCTCATTCGGTTGTTATTATTCAGAATTCGTTGAAAACTGTGTATGAAACACTGAAATCTGATTTGAAACGAGTCGAGGAAATGACTAGAGGCACGATTCCCATCGGTGCCACAGTCGCCGACGTCTCGAATCAACTGTGCCAATATATCACAGCGAAAATACAGCTAATAGAGTTGTAAGTAAATCGTTGATCAATCATAGATCATTTTTAATATTCAATACTTGTTTGCAGTTATGAGAGGATGTACAATATGAGCGTGAACAATAAGATAATGAAGTATCAAGAATTACTGCAGTCCATTGAAGGAATAACAGAGATTCATTCACTGTCCTGCTCGCATTTAGCCCTAACTGCGATCAAAGCAAGCTTAACGTAAGTGAAATATAAGATAAAATGATTCATTATGATTATTAAATTGATTGTAATTAGTTTAGAATGTGAGATTCTGGTGCAGCTGACGAAGGCACAGGTGGAACTTCAACATTGGAGGTTTTTATCAACGTTGATGGCCCTTTACGGTGCACAGACGCGAATGTCTGCTTGGGAAAGGACTTTGCAAAGCAAGGAGGTAAGCGACGATCAATCAAATCCTTGAAGACATTTTTTAATAATTGAGATATTTTTATTTATAGTCATGGAAATTGGGATTCAGTGCTTCTTTTTTAAAAGCAAATCAACAGCCTGCGTTGTATCAATGGTTAGTGAAACTGCGTAGTAGCATATTAGCGAAATACTCTTTATATTTTCATACTACTTTAAGTCAGCAGGCTAGTCCAGGAGAAATGCGAAGTATCATGAGCAAACAGAACGTGGATTATTATCACAAGTAAGCGTTTCACGTTTCATTGTTGCATTCACATGCGAGATGATAAATTACGTACGTGATTCGTTTTCATTCTAGAATACAAAGTTTTCAACGTAAACACGATGTTATAGCAGTGTTGATGATATTCGACTCTCGAGGAGTAGAAGACGCAGGGCCGGGTTATAAATACCCTCGCAGAGAACCGAATGCTTCCGGACACTTCCCGGTGGTCCTCTGCTGCCCCAGCGTAAGAAAAACGATTCGAAATAAAACCAGAAAGCGATTATTAAATGATTATTGATCTGTTTTAGGTATTCGTACAAAAGCCGTCGGTTCATTTAGATAATATACAGAAACGGATTAAAGAACGACACGCGGAACTCCTCGCCATGGACAAAATCGTCTACTGCAAAAACGTGAAAGTACGTAAATTAAATTAAATTCGTACAAATCGACTGTTTTAATGTTTTAATAATCATTTTCAGGATGTATACACATACGCGATGTATAATACCGATCCTAAAATGACTTTAATCACAGTGTTTGAAAGCGGTAAGCAAAAAGACAAAGAAAGTCACGTTACGTCGTTCATGACGGACTTGTGTATGCAGATTAGATGCAACAAAGTGTACGAATCACTGAGACTATCTAAATGAGAAATGATTATGAGATTGTTAAATCGCCACCAAAGATTTGAACGAAAAATCAAACTGTTGTCGAACAATAAAGTTTTTATTCCTGTTCGTACGACGCTGATTTTTACAAAGTCATTATTGCTCGTTTTAACGCTTTCTGCTTTTCTCTTCGGAGCCGGTTTTTACGTGTGTGACTCTTAGTCGCGTCCTTGAAAAATTGTATCCCTTCGTTCTCCTCGACGACTCGTTGTACGTGCATCATTCCGTGTAAATTGAAACCAATCATGTCCTAAAGGAAGTCGATTTTTAATTAAATTGCTAGGAATTAAATCAGGCGAATTCTTACCCTCAGGCCTGAGACTTTCTTAATAGCCAGCGTTTGCACGATTTCTAAAATAGGTAAAAGTTCTTGGGTAGCTGTGATTGGTCCATGGTGAGCTTGTAACAAGCACAGTGCTAGTTTTGCGATTAATTCTGTATGGTAATCGGTTTCTAATAATTTTGGTAACATTTTTAGAATCTCGCAAGCCGCTGAATAAGGTAATAATAACAACGTCTCTTCCAATTCGCTTCCCCTAATTCGTTTCACGGTTTCTAATAAATAATCCTCCACAGTCGTACAATCGTAGGCTTGCATTTGCAAGGGAAGCACAGGAGTTTTATCAGCAGTTGTTTCTAATAACTGTTCTTTGTATTCTTTCGATACGTCCAGACACTCCATTATCAATTCTGCCTGGAAGACAATTTTAGATTAATGAGAAATTAAATTAAATTGTTGGGATAATTTAATATTTACTCCTTTTTCGCTGGACACTGTTTTTCTTGAAGGGAGAGACTGCTGCTTTTGTCCAGGGACGACGGTACTCTCTCCGGTTGCTAACTCGTTCTCTTGACGTTCCCTCTCCTCCTCTTCTTCGTCTTCGAGAACCAAAGGTTCTGTACTCCGTTCGTACAACCTGACGACCTTATCAGATCCGCAAGAAATAACGTAGACGCCGTTCGGCGAAACAGTGCAATTCCACGCCTCGCCTGCGTGTCCCTAAATAATTAAATACTGTATAAGTAGTCTGTGTTTAAATAGTGAATGATTGATAGTGAATGATTAATTAATTACTTGCAACGTGACGATTTTGTTAAAACTATCAGCGTCCCATTGTTTGACCCTCCCATCTTTTCCACAAGTGAAGACGTAGTGCGTTCCAGGTACAAATGATATTCCTGTTACAGAATCGTCGTGAGCGAAAATCGACTTGTGACAATCTCCGAAATCCAAACCCCAGATTTTTATGTTTCTATCAGCAGAACCAGTCGCGATCAACGTCGAGTCGCTTGATATATCCATAGATAAAACTGGCAATTTGTGTCCGTAAAGAGAAATGAAGAACTGGAATTAAAAACATTTAATTTTAAGTCAGTTATTAATATTCTGTAATATTTAATTACCTTGAAAGTGTCTAGGAAAAAGATTTTCACAGTAGAGTCGAGCAACGCGACTGCGACGAATCTGTTGTTAGGAGTAATTCGAACGCACAGCACGCTGTCCTCTAATTTCAGAGTTTTCACATGTAAAACCGAGAGAACTTTCGCTTTAATTTCGGTGTCCGGATCTTCGATCAGTTCAAAGTTCCAGAATTTTACAGTCTGGTCTCCACCGCCGCTGGCTACTCCTTTCCTATCTGGGAACAACGTGACGCTCCAAAGTTCTTTCGAATGCGCAGGAACTTCTTCTAAAACGTCGCCGGAAGCGATGTCGATAATTAACATTTTCCCGTCTTTTAAACCGACGATTAAATGCCTGTCTCCAGGCACGAACGTTGCTGTCAATGCGTAGCCGCATTGCACGGTACGTAGACAAGCTAGTGTCGGTCTGTTCCATAATTTTACAGAATCACCGCTCGCTGTGGCGAAAGCTAAATTGTCGGAACTGAAGCAAACCGCACGGACGTCTGATCTGTGGCCGTGATTCGTTATCGATCTTAAATGTTTCACTTCTGCGTCTTTCTCTTCAGTGAAAAGGGAATACAAGTCGATAGAATTATTGTTAAGTCCTATACAAACCTAAAAGAAAAAGGAATTAATGAATAATATGTTTAATTGTTTTTATTATTTATGTGACTTACTCTCAATTCACCATTTCTGCCCATTATCATGTCTATTCCTTTTGCTTTAACGGGTATTTTGATAATGGGTAGTCGAGTAACTTCGTCTTTTATTGTAGGCGTTTCTGAGATATTCATTTCTGTATTCTCATCAGTCCTGTTTAAAAAATTGTACAGTATTAAGGATGTATTGGATATACAGTTAATTCCTAAAGTTTGTGTATTTTAGAAAAACGCATTTTTTATGATTAAGAATAGTGAATTTTTCTTATAATTTCGATATTTAATGAGTTACGTATGATTATTTGGCATTTTAGTGATGTTGACGAAATCCGACCATTCCACCGTCGAAATCGCGAACTTTTGGAAAAAAATTTCGTTTTTCCTCAATAACTTCCAAACCCTTGGAGTTACGGAAAAATTGCATACGACCTTTCTTGTAGAGCTCGACGAGATCTACAATTTCCATATAAAAACTTTTCGCTAGCATTAATATTTAAAGAGTTATGGACGAAAAACGAAAAAACAGTTTTTTGCAAATTACTCGTAAACTATTAATGCTAGCGAAAAGTTTTTACATGGAAATTGTAGGTCTCGTCGAGCTCTACAAAATGAACGTACAAACATCCCCGT